TTTTTTTTTTTTTTTTTTTTTTTTTTTTTTTTTCAGGGGGTGGGGCTGGGTTTGCGCCGCCCCATGGCGCTCCCCAAATCCCAAAACCCCCTCCCCACTGGCCGCCATGTGGCCGGAAAGTCGCGCGGCCGCGCGGACACGTCTGCGGGGTCGCGGCCTAGGCCGCGGCCGCGGACTTGTCCGCGGATGGCCGCCGCCGAGGGGGATTCGTAGCCTCGGACTTCTCGATGCCACCACAACGGTACCAATTTAGACCTCCGTCTTCCGTCAAGAAAACTATGGCACCACACCCGGCCTCATGGGTGCCACCCACCCAGTCAAGAGCCCAAAGCTTATCACGATAGAGTTTGGACCTGTTGTTGACCCTTTTCTCCCCATCTCCTGAACTCCTCGGTTTCCTTCTTGGACAGACAAACATACGCAATGACCGACCGAACAAACACACATCTGTCATCGCCATACCACCAACTGGATCCCCTAACAGCAGACCCTCTCAAGTTATCGTTTCAGGGAGGGTCTCCCTGGGTGCACGAAGTTGAGTGGGGGCCAAGCGTTTGTGAAACGCTGGACCCTCTCCCCTATCTGTGCCGAAGGGGGAGAGGGTCCGATGTTTCACAAACGTGGACCCCATGGGGGCACGAAGTGGAGCTTGGGTCCGACGTTTGTGGAACGCTGGACCCTCTCCCCTACCTGCACTGAAGGAGGAGAGGGTCCGGCGTTTCGCAAACGCTGGACCCCCACGGGGGCACGAAGTGGAGCGGGTACTACACCCTCTCCACACAATCTCCCCTGGGCTAGCGCATCGTACTATTACAGATATTGTCTGCGCACCACCCACGAGACCAGTCCTTTAAGAAGGGGGAGGGTATCATCGCCACATCACCAACTGGATCCGCTAACAATAGACCCTCTCTAGTGATCGTTCCAGGGAGGGTGCCCCTCGGTGCACGAAGTCGAGTGGGGGTCAAGCGTTTGTAAAACGCTGGACTATGTCCCCATGTGTGCTGAAGGGGGGAGAGAGTCCAGCGTTTCACAAACGCCGGACCCAATGGGGGCAGGAAGTGGATCGGGGGTCCAACGTTTGGGAAACGCTGGACTCTCTCCCATACCTGTGTCGAAGGAGGATAGGCTCCGGCGTTCCGCAAACGCTGGACCCCACGGGGCCACAAAGTGGAGTGGGTACTACACCCTCTGCACACAAACTCCTCTTGGCTAGCGCATCGTACTATTACAGATACTGTCTGCGCACCACCTACAAGACCAGTCCTTTAAGAAGGGGGAGGGTATCATCGCCACATCACGAACGGGATCCCATAACTATAAACCCTCTCTAGTGATTGTTCCGGGGAGGGTGCCTCTCGGTGCATGAAGTCGAGTGGGGCTCAAACATCTGTAAAACGCTGGACCATCTCCCCTATGTGTGCCGAAGGGGGGAGAGGGTCCGGGGGCAGGAGGTGGATCGGGCGTCCAACGTTTGAGAAACGCTGGACTCTCTCCCATACCTGTGCCGAAGGAGGATAGGATCCGGCACCCCCCGTCGGAATCGTAAGGGTCAGTACCACGACATAGAAGGGGGAGAGGTTTCGGCGTTTCACAAATGCCGGACCCCATGGCAGGGTGATGGTCGTGGTGCGGTGGTCCTGCGTTTATGAAACGCTGGACCCTCTACCCCTTCAGTGACGAATGGTGGAACCAGGGCAGGGAGTGGATAATCATGCGGGGATAATTGACCATCCCCTGTACTTTGTCCCTCCACCTTCAGAGGTTCCTATCTTCTCCGAAGACGAAACGGACCCACGTACTTGGCTGGCGGCCCTAAAGGCCTAGGGTTGGACGGACCAATTACTTCGGGAACGGATTCCAAGAAGGTTAGCAAGGACAGCGTTTGAATGGTATGGACAAAACTTCTATACCAACCGACCCACTTTCCAGGGAAAATTTCTCGAACCCTTTGATCACATCACATTGGGGCAATGTTTATGCCTAATTAAGGAAGACACTCAACAGCCCCGGGAAACTTTACGTGGAGCGCTTCACCTACCTGGCCAAATGCTCCGGGGTTGATGAGAAAATGGTGCAAACCAATTTCGTCCGGGGATTATCTGATTCCCGGCTGCGAAAAAAGATCCGTAAGAAATGCAACCCAATTGAGCATACCTTGACTGAGCTAATCCAGTATGCTATCAAATATGGGAAAGAAAACTACGATGTGAGGTTGGACTCAGAATCTAACGAAGACGACCCATCGGGTGTCCGACGGCGGACCGACGCTATAGCAATTCCGCTACGGCTTGGATGTTATTCCGCTACGGCTTGGATGTTCGAAGACCGTTTCGGGTTAGGACCAGCCAAAAAACAAATGGACCGAAGGGCCCCATTTTCTTCCTCGGCCTCTCGGCGCCATATACAAACGCAAGGAGGACGGGAAGTAGATGAACCCTCGATGAAAGAGAGAGTCGCACAACTTGTGACGGTTGTGGTGCCTTTAACAGAGCTCGTTTAGAGCTGGCAGAGGCAAAGGGCGGTAGTCACCCAGAGACAACCAGTGGTCGTGGCCGCTGGAGCGGCGTTACCTCGGCCTGCGGTGGCAGGGGCCACACAGCCTATGCGATGCTATAATTGTAATCAACCCAACCACTTGGCCAGAGAATGCCTGCGACCTCGAACTTAGGTAGGTATCGTTGACCCATCCCACATCCCGCTGGCAGCTCCAACCGCCGAAGGCCAAGGGCGGGTGGCAGCCGTCATGCATGCGGGGACCCCGGACATGGTGGCCCCGGCGGCCGCCGAAATTGGAATCGATGAATACCTGGCGGCCGCGATGCTTGAACCTGGGACCATTGGCGTAATCCGCCATACCCCATGAGTTGCCGGGGAAAGTGACTTAGGACTGTGGAGCTATGTATCACCCGCGGTTGCAACCGCGAGCCCTTTTACTGCCCGCGGTCGGGATCCCACCCGCGGCCGAATGCGGGCATGAAACCCCGATAATTTTTTCGAGGCCTAAAAATAGGCAAAAAAAAAAAAAAAAAAATCAGCGTGTAGATAAAAAAAGCTCTACACGTCTATGATTTTTAATAAATATTTGTACTCTACTGGAAGGGAGAAACATAAAAAAACGAAAATGGAAATTAAAAAAATTAGAAAAAATAAAACCGGTGATTATTTTTTTTTTCTTCATATTTTTGGTTTGTTGGGCGGGTGGCAAAACACTGACCCACACATACACACACGGACACACAATCAATCAGTCAATCAATCAATCAATCAATCAACGAACCAATCGCAATTAATCAATCAATCAATTTGATAGATTGATTGATTGATTAATTGATTGATTGATTGATTGATTGATTGTGTGTGTATGCGTGTGTGTGTGTGTGTGTGTGTGTGTGTGTGTGTGTGTGTGTGTGTG